AGTCCGTCCCCGTGGAAGAAAAAACATAAGTCGTAGTCTATGTTTTCTTCCAGACTATCCTCTACATCTATACCAAATTTCATCGAAATCCGTTCAGCCGTTTAGGCTACAAGCTAGCATTAGTAAGATTAGTTGGCTAGGTGTATCTACAATCTGTAATTACAGTAACGGGTGAAAACGGAGTATGCTAAATTTCTTCTTAAATTTACATAGCATCATTTTTTTAATGATCGTTACAGTGTCACTGAAAAGTGAAATAGAACATGTGATAGAAAATCTAAACAGTGCCGTCCTTTAAGATAAGATATAAACGTTGACTTAGTGCCTTATTTTAAGGTTACATATACGAACACTAATTAAAATAAACTATATGTGCATACTTTAATTGCAAAAAATATAGATTCATGCTTTAACATTTGTAAAATAATGTTTTGTTTTGATTCCGTATTAATTTGTTTACAAGCATAATATAAAATAATCACGCAAGTAATAGACTTGTATAAGGCTAGATAATAATGAATGAAAAGTCCAGTTATATGAATAAACCGATACAAACATATTGTATCTCAATAGCTTTATCTTTATTTTATAATCGTATTCTAATAAGTACTTTTCCATAGAATATTCCAAAACAAATTGAGGGGAATTACAGTATCAACGGCCTTATACTGAAACGATACTTAAATATGTAATAGCGTCTTAAATGATTAGGCCACATTTTAACTCAAAATTCCATTAAAATTTTGACGTCTGTCATCTTAGCGGCGCTCACGAAGTGTTTAAAATTCGTTTCAGTGTTTGACTATAAAGTTATCAATTGATAAAAAACAAAACACAGTCTTAACATAGAAACTTTGTAGATAATGTAGTTAATCTTTATCTAGTGATGTAATAAATTTATTCGATAAACATTCTTCAATGCCGCACCGCGAGGTTACTGCGCACATTTCGCCCGATCTTTTTTCGCCTTACACAAATAATCCAGTTGATTTTAATTGTTACCCATCACAGAGTATTTTACTTACAGAGACTTTATATTCTTCAACAATTAATCTTAACAATCGTATTAATTGCAATGTAATTTATCGTATATTGCGCAATTTAACAATTGCAATGTTATGTCTGACAACATAACATATTGATTGTGTAACACGTGTAATTAATGTTTGTTCCTGGTTTCATTGCGCTGGTTAATATACAAAATGTTCACTGAATCACACATGAAGGTGACTGCATAATACAAATACTAAAACATATTAAAATTAATTTTTACTTTAATTATTCCTTCTATATAAAACAATATTTTATAGTGTATAAACAAAACCAAAAACAACGGTAAAAAATAAATTTGCAACGTAATTACTCTATGTTCAATTTAACACTCTCTGGACAGCTTCAATCCGCCAAAACAACGTACTACGTCTCAGAAAAACAAAAATAGTCTCCACAAACAAAACAAGATTGCGCCTTCGCAGAAATGATTGCAATAAGACTTGAAAACAATCAAATGATAATGGGTTTACCATATTTTTAACGTACGCATTAAAATTTTGTTACGCCTTTTAATTTCTCTCATTGACGTGGTAATAGTTAAAGCTATTTCTCTCACGTCTCCAAAGTATTTAGGGTTAGGACTAGTGCTTACAGACGTCACATACTTGAATTTTTTAAGATTTTACCTTCAGTTTCGATGTAATAGGTATTAAAAACGACAGTTAACTATATTGATTAAAGATTCTTATCTCCACAAATTGGATTCCACATTTTCCAATTGTATCTAGATCCAGAAGAAGTACATATATATAGAAATTTTATTGGAACTTGTAAAAATAAGAATTATACGCAGTACAAGTAGAACCATCATCATCTTCCTCCTGATCATACTCCCGTATGGTTGGCGCGGCAGCAAACAGGAGGACAAACCTGCACATAAATCTATCATACGTCATCTCAGTCATGTCTTCTTGTTCATGTCACCTTTCACGCAAACCATCTCTTTCTAGGTCTACAGTACAAGTGCAATCGTCTTGATATTTTTTGTTAGTTCCGAATTTACATTTGAGTTTATTTTAATCCTTCTTTGTTGTGTCGGAGTATGATAATCACTTCCATTGTTTTAAATATTAGTAAATAAAGCCGTATTAAATTTGTTGGACGTTTGCCAGATGCTGTTTGTTTCCTGTCCACACATCGAATTGTTAAACCGTTCCTTAAATCAGATGACGGATATTAGGCAATTTATTTTGATAATTAATAAAACAATATTATGACAAATGGCGGCTTAATTTAAAACAAAAAACAGCTAATAAATTACAATGAGAATAAAATGGAAAAAGGATTCCAGGTTCTTAATGAAAGGCTATTTACGCTGTAAAGGGCTAAAGTAATTCAGTGTAACTTTATTGTGAAATTAATTAGATTTTTTTTATAACTGGTTTAAACGAATTTTTTTTTTGGAGAAAATAAGGTGAAGGTTTGGACTTTTATGGTTATAATCCTGAAATTCTGATAGAGTTAAGAATGTGTACATTAGAGGAAGTTTGAAAGTAGCGCCAGTGGTGGAGAAATTAAGAAGCAAAAGGTTAGCGTGGTATGGACATGTTATGCAACGAAACGATGGGGACATAAACCAGAAAGTGTTAAGATTGAATGTGGATGGCTACAAAGGTAGAGGAAGACCGAAGAAAGTATGGATGGATTGTGTGAAAGAGGATATGCTTAAGAAAGGAGTGGATTCAGATATGCCGGCTGATAGAGATGTATGGAAGAGCAGCACATAGCCGACCCTCCGTAAGGGATAAGGGCAAGTGGATGATGATGAATCTTGAAAACAAAAGTGTATTTTATTTGTGTTTGTCTAATTACATATTAGTACGTTGAAAAAATGCAACGATATTTTTATAACACAATATGCAGTTATACTTTTTGTGTGTTCCGTTGTCGCACATTGCGAACAACTACACGGCCAATTACGGTTATAGGCCTTAATTGAAACGCATGCTCGCTGTTCAGCTTCGAAACATACATACTATAGTACTCTGGAATATTTTCTATGCAATTGTGTGACTGGAAATTTCCTTTTGTAATTTATTAGTTACACCCTCCGCGAACATTTTATTTGATAAATGTTCTTGTTATGCAGCCTCACATTACAGATGCAATATTAACGATTCGTTGCGAGTCATTTACAAAGAGACTATTTGTCGAATATTTAAACGCCATTGTCAGTCCTACTAAATTCTTGTAAATCGTCTGATAACAATCCAACGTGTAAATTATGTGATGTAAACATCTGATTTTGTTACTTTATCTGACAGTGCCGTTATTTTTAAGCTACCTGAGCTCTCAGGCAGTGGTGGTACAGACCCTTAAACATGTAACAGCATTTTAAATGATAAGGCCTTAAACTCCAAATTCCATTAAAATTTTGACATCTGTTAGATTGTAAGTGGCGCTTATAAAACGTAGTGTTTATGATTCGTTTCAGTATGCGACCGTATGTTATAAAGAATGATGATTATCAAAATGATGATACATATAGTGCATTAAATGACGAAACCTAGGCTTTTGTAATTTTTATATAGTTAATTTATTTATATTTGTAAGTTGTTGTTTTAAATATTGAAATACTTCGTCATAACAAACTAAACAATTTCGCTATGGTTGTTTATCTCATGGCTAATCAAATGCATGAAATACAAACAATAACAATCCAATGCTCGCGTAGAACATGTCGGAAGCTGTCAATACCTGTCTACGTCAATTATTTATTTCATTGTCGTAATTATATGAATAAAAGATTAGAATGCATTTCTTTAGTGTTAAAGTCACGAGCTATATTATAAATTCTAATATAATATTTAGAAATTAACCAGTTAAAATAAAAAAAAAAATTGTAAATAATAATTGTTAACTAGCCTTCTCCCGTTTCGTGGAATTAAAAAACAAAAGTGAGTAGCCTATGTGTTCTCCCATAATATCTACATCTATGCCATCGAAATTTGTTCTCTAAACTCTAACAAACGTCCATTCATCTATAGTTTAGCAATTATTATATTAGTTTATTAATATAGTTAGTAGTTCAGATCCAACTACAAACTCTCGTATTTAAATGGAATTCTATTTATTGGGCTATCTGCAATTCAATACGTAATAATAAAATAAGATACGTAATGCATATTATTAGGAATAAACATATTTGTATGATAAACATGTTGACGCTGACATTATCGTGTGTTCATAATCTTACTGTTTCATCACTCGATTTAAATTAAGATTAGTGACAAAATATTTATCGCATGTTATTGATGATTTACTTTTGTTTATGGAAATAATCATAAACTGACGTCATGTTTTTAAAATTAAGTAGTAAATTGTAAAATTTTATCGTATCAAATTTCACTCAAGGAAAAAATAATAGAATAGGTAATTTGAATTACATTCATAAAAATGGAATAGCATTTTTGGTAATCATTTTTAATTTATTCGGCGTATAACATTTATTTTATTATCTATATTCGACAATATTTTCCCGACGTTGTCGATAATAACTGAATTTGTTTTTATTTCATCATATTTATGATTATTTGTTAAGATTTAGTAATAATAACTTTATCGATAGATATCGATAATAGGGCTGTGATTATCTTAATAACTGGCCATAGACAATTGACATCATCCTTGATTTTGTCATTATCTTAAAAAAAAAAACAATTTATGACAATTACTTTGTTTTATTGTAATTGCATAATAAATTATTTTTAATACAATTTTCTTTTGTTATTGCTCATGAAGAGAAATTTTAAATGTGATTCATTCAGAATCGGTTAATAGTCGAATATTGAAACGCTATCGGATTGTAGAGTTGCTTACGAATCAAATCCTTTCAGATTCGTTTGAATATTCGGCCTTAATTCCAATGTAATATTATTAGTGAGAAGGTTGACGTTAACTCATTCTACATTCAGATGATTCTGTTTTAAAAAATATGACGTACTTACCGACATGCGATAGCCCGGTGAGATCCGATTCTGAAATAAATAAAAAATAAAAACGTGAGTAAAATAAAAACAAAACAAATTCGCTTGCTCAAAACAAAAAAAAACGAACGTATAATTTAAAAATAAAATAAAAAAAGCATTTAAATTTACTACAACTCTATTTATGGGGTAAAATGTATATTCACTAATGACTATTTTCCTTATAAATATATGATAATTAGTAAATTTTATCCTCATAAAATATTAAGGCAAATAATACATTTTAAGTGTGCATTTAAAAGGTTGAGGTCAGATAACAATGACGCTTGTACCAAAAAAAATACAAACATGTTGATATGGGAAATTGAAACAAACAGACCCGCGTCATTTAATATTATCCATACGTGACATGACAATGTAAAGAATTGACATTGCATAATACAAATACTAATGACTAACAAACCCTACGTATTTACATAGGTTTTAAACATATTGTAGTTTCCTAATATTAATAAACTTGCTGTTCCCGTGCGACTTCATCTGCATGAAATTATTATTTTATTTCATTGTTTACATTTGTCAAACTATCAATAGCAAATGTCAAACTGACATGACATGACAACCTTGGCAATCTTGTTTCGTTAATGTTGGGAGCAACTTATGGTCTCTTTGCCACATTAGTGTTTTTATCCAAAATATTTACCCCCTTAGTTTAATGGCGTGAAAATATACAGCCTAAAGCGTGACGTAAGTGTAGGGCTTTTTATTAATAAAAGAATCATTCAAAAATATGCTTTAATTTTGACATCATGAGCAACAAAGAAGTGTGTGTTTACGCTTTATTATAATAGTATAGATTTAAAACGCTAGCAAGAAAGTAAAAACAATTTAAACCCAAGTCATTGTAACTTTTTATTAGTCTCATATCAAAAAATCATTGACTTACGTCTTTGGAAACATATTTTTTATGGCTATTCAATAAAACTTCATATTATTATCGTTAAGGAAAGAGTATAAGGAAATTATTTCAATGTTATCACTGTATTATATAAATTCGTATCTTTCAGGAAATGAGATTTTTCATTATCCATAAAGTAACGGTTATCAGGGACAATATTTTACCGAAAACTCCTATATTTCGATAAAAGTCTCTTTTCCTCTCTATATCTAGTATACCAGGGTTTTAAAGAGGAAAGATTTGCATTTTTGTATGTATTGAAATAACTCAAAAACCACTGGTCCGATTTTGAAAATCCTTTCACCGATAGAAACGTAATTTACCTGTGAGTAACATAGGATTTAGGATTTAGGTGTTTTTATTATTTTTTTAATTTCACGCGGACGAATTCGCGAGCAACAGTTAGTACGTAATAATTTATTCAAGCTATATATAAAAAATAACCTAATCGGAGTAATAAGAGTTAAAATTTGCACATTTTATGTTATTACATGTTTTTTTTAATTGCAAAAACCAGCGCTTGACGACTATCCCACCTAGACCAAGGTGAAGATGTTTATATTTGAGAACATTCCTTTAATTAAATCTATCAAAATATGAGGCACCTTTTTATGTAATATTTTATTTTTCAAATGTATTTCTTATAAAAATAGCTTAATCAAGTCAGAGCTTAGAGCGTCCGCACCCGTAACTAAACTATCACATAACTGTTAGATCTAGCTTTAAACTTATATGACAATGTACACTATTCGATTTTTAGTTGTGCAACTAAACAGTTGAATTTCAAAACAATCGCCAATCACACAACATTTGAACGATAGTTTATTCAAAGGCGCGCCTGCTCTTAGAATACGGAAGTCTAAATAAATACAGATAAAACTCAATACAAAGTAGAAATATGAAACTTGTTCTTGACGTATTAAAGTAATTGTAAATACGTAGTTGTAAAACTCAACCTAGAACGCAACGACAACTAATGCGGATAAAATCGTTTGTTTACAATACCAAGAGGCCATAGATGACGTAGTTACAACCAAAATAAAATATGATTAACTGGAGACAAATACATTATCTACATCACGCCATACTGTCCTATATATGACGTCACTTGGTGTAAATATTCAAATGATATTACCGCACAGTTAAATAGTCAAAACGGAAACCTTTTTGGGTAGATTTAAAATGAAAAATGTAAATTAAATAAAAACCGTGTCTACAACAAAACAAAATCTTACTCATAGTACAGTCATTTCACGAGGACAAAGTCGCTGGCGACAGCTAGAATTTTTATAAATTTATAAAAAAAAAAATTATCGTAGGCTCTATCATTTCTATATAAAAATGAAATATCTATTAAAATAAAAAGTTTAAATTCCTGTTGCTAATTTAATTAACAAGAACATTTCAACACTACAACGCAGTTTTCGTTTTAATCATTTTTTCACAAGACCATTAATAAAAATGTACTGGTATTAATTACACGGGGACACAAAATAATTAACTCAAGGTTTATTTCATTAGAAATAGTTTCCGACCTCAAAATGTACTAACACTCAGCGTGTTGTTACTGGTACCAATTAAACAATTTATAAACATTTCTGACCGTGAACGTATTTATAGTGAAATCTTCTAAAAGTAATTGAGTAAATTCGAAACATAGCAATATTATAAACTATAGACTACAAATGGTTAACAAGCTAGTTTATAAGTAAAAAATACAAGTATACAGTACAAAAGTAATAGATTAAAATTTGAGGGAACTTAAATTACTCTGTCACTTTTATAGCATACTAGCTGTTACTGTGCGGCTTCATCCGCATGAAATTATAAAAACTTGACTTAATTGTCTACATTTGTCAAATTCTCATTTGCTTTTAGTATACAGTCCCTTTCCCACATGAAGGTTTTCTTCCAATTTATTAATCCTCTAAGTTGATTAGCGTGAAAATATTTGGCCTAAAGTGTGTTGTAAGTGTAGGGCTTTTTATTAAAGAAAAAAAATATTTAAAACTATGCTGTGATTGCTGACATCCTACGCCACGAAGTAGTGTGTGTTTACGCTTTATTATATTAGTATAGAAGTATGGTATAGGTGAGCTTTCGGCGAGCAAACCAGCGAGAACACGGAGGTGGTCAAAGACGCCCATGGACATCCGCAACACCACCAGTTTTTTCAGCAAGTCAGTAATAAAAGGAGGTTAATGCCCTTATTAAATATAGTAATCATGATGTAACAATATCCCAGTATTTCATAAGTTTAACGAACATTTGATAACGTGTTTGGCGCGGATTATCAATATAGTGATCCGCAGGGGGCGCGATAATATTATCGTACTAATATAGCCAGCGGTCGACCCCTGACTCTCCTATCTACTGTTATCACGCTGGAATGGAACCTTCCTCCGATCAATGCTATCTCGACGCGTCACATTGACTTATCAAAACACAACTGTAACTAACATTCACGGATCAATAACAAAAAATGTGTATTTTTAAGAAAAACAATTGACAAAAGATTTATCACCTTTATTTTGTTTCATTTAAAATATTTACATCTTTAAAATTGACTCTATATTTAAGTGTAAAAAAATCTATTACTAACTCGATATAAGGCACTTGCCTTACCATGTTGAGTACATTGACTGCTAAAATCATTAAATACGTCATGAGAAAAACATGAAACTGTTTAAAATGCAAATAAACAATTTAAAACGAGAATGGAATATTCTAATTGATAAACATTATGTTTGCGTTGTTTACATCTTGTTCATTGACTGTTTCGAGGTTCTTTGGAAAAACATGACCATGGAAAACATCTAAGAAAATAAATATATTCAATTTAGACACTTCGAATGGATTACGGGCACTCTTTTTTAATTACACTTCGTAGCTTTCGCCCGTGACTCTATCCAGGTGGAATCAAAGGCCGGCAACGCTTCTGTAGTTCCTCTGGTGTTGCGAATTGTCTTTGACCACCTCTGTGTTCCCTCCGATTTGTCCCCTTCTCTTTTAAAATTACTAACATAATAAAATAATGCAGTCTATCGTTGTTATACCAGACTGTGCTATGCATTTATGTCAATGTTTTTCGAGATCCGTTCAGCAGTTTAAGCTACAAACGCTAACAAACATTTATCTATCTAAACTTTACAATTTACGGTGAAGTTAGATAAAACATCGTTTAACAACCAACTGATGTTAATGTGGATGTAAGAAAATCAGAAGCATAATAAAACATTACAATCAGTTCTAGGAGGCAAAATATGTCATTTTGTACACAGGAAATATCGTGTGTGCTCACTTTGACATAAGCACGTCTTGTCTCCTAAGGTTACAGCACGTCTTATCGTTACATCTCGTTGTTTGCGGTTGCGAGGACAAATGACTAACGGTATACCAACAAAACCTTTTAAAGGCTAAATCAAAGAAAAGGAAAAGTACCGAACATTAGATAAAATTTCCATTCGAAACCTTTCCTAAGCGAAGCTACTTTCGATATCATACTTTCGTTCACACAATAGTGAAAATATTTCCTTCATACTAAATTAATCTTGTATAATTTATATCTGGTTTGTTTTAAAGTTTCGCTTATCCTATAAACAAAGGGATAACTACATGTGTATGTCGAATGTAATTCTTTTAGTTCCTTCAGACGTCAACGTCTGGGTTGACAACATAACAATACCAACCATTGTTTGACGCAATCGAGCGTACAAAATGTTCAATGAAATAATAATAAATCAAACGTAGTACAAATACTTACGTCATTGTGGTTGCTATAGTTACGGAAATCCTGACGACAAGGAGTCTACATGGTTTTTTATAAATCAAAAAGATTGTCTGTTTCTCTTCTGTTTTTCTTTCCATGTAATTACAAATACTAAAAAACGCACACAAGCCTACGCAACAATGCACGAATACATTCACATACACATAGCAACACACACACACATACACATAAGTGCAATGATGGCTTATATTATACCTCAACTGCCCCCTGTATCATAAACTGAACCATGTTATAGTAGTTTAGGGGAGGCTGAAAACCAGCGCGGCCTTCAGTGACAAGCTGGAGGCCGCATCAGCTGAGCCTTTTCCTTTTGACCAAGAGTTTGTATCTTTATTTTTATTTCATTAATAATTGTAAGTTGTGTTCTTTTAATTTTTTTCTGATCAATAAATAGTGTTTTATTTATTTATTATTTTATTTATTTAAAAAGCTTTTGCAGGTCTTTATCTATGAAATTCTAGACGTGTCTATTATAAAATTAAATTCAAATAATCGGATGTTTTTACTTGATTTTTAATACCTAAACCTATGTTCATTCTCATTACGAGCAAACATTGACAAGTCGATGTTACAATGCGGTTATTTTTAACATGCAAGTTAAAGACATATTTTCAATGTCACATCGATGATGTAACATGAGCCGCATTACGATCGGTTAAATAATATTATTTATACGGCAGTAGAAATAATACGTTCTTATTGCGTCTACTATAATTCCCTGTTAAATTGTTTAAACTATTCTGAGACATTATCATAAGCGAAAATTAAAGACGGCTCATTTCACGTTTTATCCTTCAGTGACGGCACCGACTAGTTTCAGACCCAACGAGGGTCCATCTTGAGGGCGAGTATTAGTTAACTTTGTTCGCGGTCAGGTCGAGCCTTGCACTGATAATACACTGTGTAAAAACTACTTCACCTTTTAAATCTAATTGTAATCTTACTAGTATTATAAATGCGAAAGTTTAGATGGATGGATGTTTGTTAGAGTTTGTAGCCAAAACAGCTGAACGGTTTTCTATGAAATTTGGTATTGATAAGTCTGGAAGAACACATAGGCTACTCACTTTTGTTTTTTTCCACGCAGACTGAATCGCAGGCGAAAGCTAGTTACTAATAAATAGCACGTTCAAAGTATTGAAAACAAGGTGTGTTACTGTTTTACAATAAATGTAATAAATCCTCTTGTTTCTATAACAACACTACAGTTCGGGATATACGTGCTTCTGTTTGAAACAACATCGGACTGACGTGTGTTGCTAATTTACTATACTGTTCTACTCAGTATATTTTGTTTAAGACTCATTGTTAATTAAGAGATGTTCTTACGTTTTAGTTACTTTAAAATTCGCAACAGAAATTACATCGCATATTTATTTATAAAAAGAATCAACAAAAAATGTATGTTTTTTGGGAAATTGCGTTTGAAGTTTGTTTGAGTTTGACATATTTGAGATGAGAGAGTAAGACGTTGTCCTATTCTTCTTTTTATTCTTTTGTTACGTAAGTTGAATTAGTCGTTTTCTCATGAAAATAATGTCGTTTATGATAAAAACTCAAAAAACACAAATTTGGAGCTAACACTCTTTATGAATAAAGGTACAACATAATTGTATTGTTAATGAAATTGTCAAAAAAACAAAAACTTTAAGGAAATAAGAAGTAGAGACAAATTTTAAACAACCACAATATTCTAGAATTAAAAATACGCAATAAACAATAACAAATTTTCCAAACTAATGACGAATGTCGTAAACAGCTTCTACTTAAAAACTTGGAACTCGTTAAAAATTTCGCACGCTTACCGTAGCTTAATTACGTAAAAAAATTACGTAGATTCGCGAAACCGATGAGATCATACTGCGTCAGTGCTCATAAATGTCATAATTTATGATGAAAAGTAGTAGTAGCCATTCGTCAAACTTGACTTTAAAAAACTACAAATCCCACGTCATCTCAAACAATATGTGACTCATACGGCAATAAACATACTAAGAAACCAATTAAAAATAAAATTTTAATCTTACATCGAGATAATCCTAAAATTAAGTTTTAAAATATCTTAGCGTTAGTACCAACTTTAACTTTCTTAACAAATTCTGACACAACCGTCATACGATTGTATTTTGTTTATATTATCCGTTTTCGAGGACAGGGTTTGAACTCCATTTTAAGTCACTGTTAATTATAAGAGAAAACCTTGCATAATAATACGTCCTACAACACGGACGCTGTCCACTTACTTCAAAATAGTCTTGTAAATGGCAACGATAATCGCATTTATTCTTCAGATTTTCCCCTAGCGTCCGGTTCTTTACCTTTACCGTTAACATAATTGATGAAAAACAAGAGATTAACATTATAAAAAGTCAATGTAAAAAACATTATAAACTTAATTACATATAAATAACATAATAAAACCGTCTTTTAAGGTTTGTCTATTACTCGGTATATGTACAGAAAGTTTTCAATTCGAAATGCTGTTCTGAACGTGAACAATACTAAGAAACTATGGTGCGTAAATTATAAGTGATGGGTTGATTTACAACTATTCATTCATCACATGTAGATTACACCGTTAGATATAGCAACTTGAAGCAGTCATAGTATTCCATAGCGAGGGCGTCAGCGTCGTTCTGACGCAATGTACTGTCTGTAATGATATTACGCAATGTATTACCTAACTGGATTTTCGGACAGGGTTTCTTGCGTCCAACCTTAAGACCACATAAACAATGTTTTCCAATGACAAGGACTTAAGGCATAAATGTTTCAAAAGAAAATATGACGTATGTGAATTTAATTGTTAATATTTTAAGAATGTAACAATGTACAAATTGCTTACTACGGTTAGTGAAAATAATTTAAATTAGGTAAAAATATTCCTCTAAAACTCACCATTTCAATATGGATTAGAAAAAAATGTTACTTATAAATTACTACTTTGGCTCGATGAATAATATAAAAAATATTTTTACATTATTATTCACAACTCATTTTTTAAATCTTAATACGATGATAATTCAAACACTACGTTTGCTTTGTTTTCCTACATGTAGCGCCATCTAGTATTTAATATCGTAAATTGTTGATGCCACACAGTAACATGTATACAGCGACATCTCTTGGAAAAATATTCAATGTTGGTGTTCAGACACAAAACGAAATACAGCGCCATCTTGTACAATATTTGTAATACATTAAACAAACTAACATATTTTAGCACATGTAATATAGATGGCGCTTTTAACAAAATCAATTACATAGCAATTATGTATAGATGGTATGTTATTTTATACAACAAATCAAAATTATCTTTGCATCTACATAATTGTAACTGTGAATGTTTTTTTTTATGAACTGTATTGTAAAAAAATATTAATCGGCACAATACGACATGATTTACAGGGTGAATTGGATTTTTAAATAGCTACAGTGCTGTGCTTCTTTCAAAGAAAGGTTGTATTTTATTTAGAGTTAATTAAGGTGGATATGAGTTGATAAAATAAACAAACAATTATGAAGATAATACTTTTACTCACCGGTGTCGTTGAGCAGCCCATTGATATCTGTCGTCGACCCATCGGCCGACATTGCTGCAACAAGAAAAAGGAAATTACTTTTTTATTCTTAATCTTTTTTAATAAATAATTTCATAACAAACTAGCTTATCGTACATTACAACAGAACTTGAAAGAAACATTTCTCATTAATGATTTTGTATTTCTAAAATCCATCCAAATAGAATCTTGCGTAGACGACTGTTAGTTGATATTTTAACTTCGTTTGAGGAAATAAATAATTTTATTCTACATTTATGAATTTTTAAATGGTATCCTTTTCTGTCACTTTAAAACGTTAACATGATCATGCAATTTTGTTAAAACATTACAGTGTTTGAACTTTTGTCGCAACAAGCAACAAGCAACAAGGGACTAACCTACGTCGTTTGAAAGGTATTGCTTTGTAAGACATATACAGTGTTAAATTGAGATAAAAAAACGAGACTGACAGGCCAATTTAAATTAGCCGTATAATTGCAAGGTACAAATGACTCAGTAACAATCAACATTGTTCGCAATCGCATTTTTAAAATACCAAAGCACAATGACAAAATGTCATTAATGTTTATCTGTAGATTATGTAATTGTAAATTTCTGTCATAACGAGTAGAGGCCGCGAGCGGCGGTGCGTGTCGGATTGAGGCATGGTCATCTAGCCGGGCTTTTGCTACCGAAAAAATGTTATTAAAATGCCTCGAACCGACACCCGCTGTGTTTATTGTTTTTTTAGTGCAAATGGCAGTTGAACTAAACAAGATACAAGATACTATATTTAGCACTTTTATATTAACTTCACGGCATGGGCGTTCTGTTCTCGGCGAATGCCTATATCCAACAGTAGGCAGATAAAAGCTATTGATGGTGAGCGTCAGAGGCTAATGTTCTAGTCTTGGACAAGGGAGAGACTGACATTAAAAACAGTACTTTTATAAGTCATTCTCCTAGATACATAACACAGGCGTGAAGTGGAAGCAATTCCGAGTTTCATCTGATGAGTGTGGTGCCGGAGGCCTAATTTTAGTCCCTTTCCTTTAGAAAAGTGGATTTGACGGTGGAGGAGATGCATAGGAAGGGGAAATGTCCTCTATATGTGCGTCTTCTCCCCCGTTAATTAAGGGTAGGCAACGCATCTGCGATTGCGGATGTCTATGGGCAGAGGTCGCTTTCCATTGCGATGGATTCAGGTGGCCACTTGCTCGTTTGCCACCTTATATAATAAAAAAAAATATTCTTGTTATTCTGTATTAAAAAGTTTACTTGTAAAAATGTAATCACTTGTACGTTGTAAAATTGCCCGTGACGTCATAGAAACAAGATATTGATAATATCTAATATTTTATAACAAAAGAAACTGAATGTAATATTATTTTACAATATCAAATGTATTGGAAAAAGTTAAAACTGTTATTAGTTATAGATATAATATTATGCTGATATGGATTTTAAAAAATAACAATTAACTTATAATAGTCATTCTATTGTAAAAGACATACAAATGACTCATGAGGACAAAACTCCGTGTGTTAGATCCCGGAAATTAATGAAAGGTTGTTTGGAGGAAAATTTATTATGCCACGAAATAATGATCCATTATAAAGGGCCAAGGTAAAGACGGGGAAAACTACTCTAACAACGTTTATCATACTATGCTAAAATAGTACTCGTATCTTGTATGATACTTGGTAATATTGTTAAAGGAATAGAGTATCAAAAACTTCCTAACCCTTCGTATTCCGATTTGCTGTACAGAGGGTCTATTCTATCACGAATATTTACGTAACAGTTATAAGAACGTATTCGTAACACCATCGACAATATTTGTATGGAAGTTGACGTTTTTACGCCCACTGTACAAGTCTAATACAAACTATGTTACGAAATTACTGATGTATACAGGATGATTTGTTTTACTAGAGTAGATAGTTTGATATCTCAAGCTTCGTTTGAATGTCGGTATGCGGATAGCGGGACTATGCGTCGTGTGGTTGCGATTCCTAGTCATACTATCCCGTGCTATTGAATATAATATTATGACTAACTGTTACACGTGACATCGTCTATAATTAAGTTACTTTTTATATCGTGTTCTTGTTTCATATAAAACAAATGCTTTACTATATGTATTGTTTACATATTTACCACCTGATTCAAGTTTTGTATGTGTCTTAATTTCTATCCCTATTAAATTCTTAATAGATGTTGCCCGCGACTTCGTCCACGCAATATCAAGAAAAAAAAGTAGCGTGTAATAACCTCGTCTATGTCAGCTACCCTTCAGTAAAAGTCCTGTCGAAATCGGCATAGCCGTATCGGAGATTACCCGGAACAAACGCGGTTTACGGACAGACAGACAGGCAGAGAGACAGACAGACAGACAGACAGACGTACAGACAGATAAAGACAAATTAAACGCTTTACTCGTTATTAGCAACTCAAATACATTATCTTCCCTAAATCTGGATTTTTTCTTTTGATATTACAGACACTCCAACGTTATTATATATATAGTATTCTTCATTAGTGTGAAGTTAGAAAAAGAAATCATACTGTAGTTTACTTCTGTCATTATAACTGTTTCTTGTAATTAAGATACAATTAAATTTTTGCGATTTTTTTAAATACGCATTAGAAATGAACGACAGTGATATCAGTGAATACTTTTTCTCATCATATTCCGGGGTGAAGAACCTCACCTGACAGTCATGGACCGTTTGTCATTCTTTAAGAGTGATTCTACAATTCATATAATGTAAGGAAGCTAAAAAATGTTGATTGTTGAATCGCTCACGTATTGTATACTAGTCAACTAAGACGATTAGAGTACGCTTGTGAAACTCAATCGTTAATTATTTAAGTACTTTAGAACTACAGTACGAGGTACAGACATCGACAAAAGGATGCTAAATTTAACAAAATACCTCCCAACAAATTTTATCAAGTTCTATTCTATTCTATTTCTTGTTTATAGCTCTCCCTCAGCGGATTGGGCCTTTTAGCAAGTAACCAGCTGTTCTCGTGCGACTTCATTTTTTTTTATAATATAAAGTGGCAAACGAGCAAGCGGCCACCTGAATCCGCCAAAATGGCGAAGCGACCGCTGCCCATAGACATCCGCAATTGCAGATGCTTTGCCTACCCTTATCCGACAGATGAGGAGACGCACATAAAGAGGATATCTCCCCTTCCTATGTATTTCCTCCTCCGTTAAATCCACTTCCTCTTCCCAATATCTCCTTATAAGAAAAGGGTGGTAAAGAAAAAGGGACTCAAATTAGGCCTCCGGCACCACACTCATCAGACGAAACACGGAATTGCTTCCATTTCACGCCTGTCTTCTGTGTGGTCGTGGTATTACACCGGGCGTGCCGGCCCTGCAGTGCTAAGATGTTAAAGCGGGCACTACCACTGTATTACCACACTTCATCCCCATATAATTGTGAAAAATTTATTTTATTGTTTACATGTGTCAAATTATCAATTGCAAATATCAAAATAACATGATACAATGACAAACCATGGCAACCTTGCTTCCTTGATGTTGGCAACTTGTAATTTATGGTTCCTTTCCAACATGAAGTTCTTTTTTTCCAATTTATTTATCCCCAAGTTTAATAGCGTAAAAATATATGTCGTAAGTATAGGGCTTTTTGTTTAAGATAGAATTATTCGAAAATATGCTGTGATTGCTGACATCCTACGCAAAGTTGTTTGTGTTTACGCTTTATTATATTAATATAGATTTACTAGCTATGTTTAGACAAGCAATTGTATACTTCTTACAACTTGATAAGCAATTGTATTTTATACTTAGATAAAAAGTATAAACACAATACACTGTTAAAGAAATTCGATTGATAGAGTTTTTCATTTAGTTTTTAGTGTAAAGATATATTTGGAATAAGAAATTGTCTAGGTTTTTATGGACTTCAAATTAAAAAAAATCAAGTATACAAGAATTAATCGGTAATCGCCATTCAAATGTAATTATTTTGGTGGGAATGAATACCAAAAAAAATTTAGTGAATAAGGCTCTTATTTTTTTTTTTCATCAAAAAAATTAAAAATGGTTTTTGCGCAAAAGTTATTCCGACAAATAATGTTATGATTATTATGATCGTGACTGTACCATATTATACTGTTAATGAAGATTACAAAGTACTATATGTTTTTTAACAAGAACCATACAATATGTTTTTATTTGTTATTTTAATATGTTATAACAAAGTTACTTCCTGCTGTCATGTATTAGAGTTACATCATTTTAAACACTTACTCGATATTTTACTATTTATACATATAATAAAATTTGAGTGTCTGTTTGTACTATCAAAAGAAACATTCCAGATTTCGGGAAGATTTATTTGCATTGCTGATAACGAAAATCGCATTTAACAGTTTGTCTGTCGGTCTGTAGTTATTGTATATATAGTAATTAATACTAGTCTGTAATAGTAAAACGTAAAGAAAGTATGGAGTTTTGTTTTGCATTGTACATGGACACAGGCTTTGTAAGTTTTGCATTTACATAAACATGTAAGATAACAAGTGTACTTAAGAATCGAGTAAAATCTTTATCATTGACTTCAAGCAATATTTACAATTATTAATAAGTTACGTATTGTGTAAGTTAATAACTTTTCACTATTACTAGTATATTCTAACCCACTAAACAGTAATAAAACATAGTCATATTTTTATTTGAATATAAATACAGTCGCATACAAAGTATGTTAAGTTCATTATATCGTATTGTTCATATCGAGTTGTTGGTTTAAATAAAGAATAGTTGTCTATTGTTTTATTTTATAGATTGTCTTTGTTTTTTATACCAACAAATAAAGTTAAACAAACTCTACATCTAAAGCAATTTTATTTTCCATGTCACTTTACATTAGAAAGCGTAAGAATATCTCGATATTTACGTTACTGTTGCAGTAGTAATTTTTGTAACATGCAACACTTTACTGCACGAGTGTACAATGATAATAAAGTTGGATATTTTATTGTCGGCTCGTTCGAATCACGACACTGCT